AAGGTTATTTATATTTTTCATTTTCTTTTGTGTGTGTGTTTTGGAATGAATCCAAAGTTTAAAATTTTCAAAAAACTTTTTCCTGAAGGAAAAAATAAATTCTACATTATCGCTTCCATTCAAGCTTTTGAGACAAAATAAAACTGAAAAGTCCTTTAATGAATAGATGTATGCGTACAAAATAGAATGACCCTATATTTGAAAGCTAAGCTATTTTTTTTGGCAAAAAGAAAAAATACCATTTCCTGACATACAGATAAATTCAAATTTATAAATAGGTGAGACTCAATATATATTAAAGGATATATATACCTACATTTAACCACCCAAACACACAAATAAACACACACACAAGAACACACACACACACACACACACACAAGAACACACATACAGACTTTTGATCAATCCGACATCGTTGCTGTTGAAGCTGCTGCTGCTGCTGCTGAAACATTAACGACAATTCAGATGTTGACGTTGGCGTAGTAGTAGTCGTCGTCGACGCCATCGTCGTAATGACGTCACCGCCACCGGCCACCACGTGACCATTCGAATTACTACTAGCGTTGTCCGTCGTCATCATCATCCTCTTCCTCATCATCATGTTCTCTTTTTGTCTGGCTGCCCGCTTCCTGAGAAGCTTCTCGGCCAGTAGGTAGTAAGTGGCTGCCGTGTGGTCATAGGCGTTGGCGTCTAGAGATCTGTGGTTGGTGAGTTGGTAGTTGAACGCTTTAATGGATGAATGAATGAATGAATGATGAATGAATGATGAATGAATGAATGGATGAATGAATGAATGGATAAATGAATGGATGGATGGATGAAAGAATGAATGGATGAGTAAATGAATGAATGAATAAATAAACTAATTAATTAATTGACATTTGAAAAGATTGGAATATAACTTCATATATCCAAGCCATAGATAAGCAAATGATTGGAAATGAAAGAGAGAAAGAGAGAGAGAAAAAAAAAGAGAGAAAGAGAGAAAAGGAGAGAGAGAGAAAGAGAGAAAGAAAGAGCAAGTAAATAAAAAATAAATAAAACGAAAAAATAAAATAAGGAAAGAACATTTATAAGTGAATAAAAACCCAAACTTATATAAATATATTGATATATAAATTAATTAGCAAAGCATATTATAGCTTATGTATGTATGTTTGTATGTATGTATCCATATACGTATGCATGCGTGTTTGTATGTGTATGTATGTATGTTTGTTTGTTTCTATATGTATGTATGTACATTATAACATATAAATAATGATGAATGAAACTGTTAATAAAAAATAGACTGACTCGGATGTAAACAAACTAATAATATTATGCCATTGTGTTATTGCTTTATTATCTCTATGTGCGTGTATGTATGTGTGTTTATGTGCGTGTGTATGCATGTATGTGTGTGTTTTGTATGTATGTGTGTGTTTGGTGTGTATGTATATGTGTGTTTTGTATGTATGTGTGTGTATGTGCGTGTATGCACACCATAGCGTTAGTTATGTTTACTGTTTCTACTACTGAAAGAAAGATACAGAAAAAGAAAGAGAGAGAGAGAGAGAGAGAGAGAGAGAGAGAGAGAGAGAGAAGAAAGATATATAGTAAAGAAAAGAGAGCTTAAGAGATGAAATGAGAGAGAGAAAAAACTAGACTCACACTCACACACACACACACACACACAAACAAGCGCAAACAAACAAACAAACCTCAAAATATCATCCTTGCTAGCGATGTTGGCAGCTACGATATGATTCATCAGAAAGTTTCTATCCAACTCTGAGAGCTTGGTCATCGTGATGAGGGGTTTGTGGTCCGGGGCCTGAATGACCTCGTGTGCCCCGTCCATCCAGGAGTGCTTGATGACGTCATCGAGGCTGATTCGGTGCAGGGGATTTCGTTGCAGCATCGATTGTATCAGGCTATTTATAAATTGTTGTGGTGGTCGTTGTTGTTGCGGTATTGTCTTGTATTGTATTGTATCGCATTGTATTGTATTGCATTGTTTTATATTGTCTTGTATTTCATTGCATTGTATTGTATTGTATTACATCATAATTGCTACCAACAAAGCCAACAGGTAAATGTTATAAACTAATTATAGATGCCTAAGAATCAGTTTGTGAAAGTAACAAGAGCTGCGGTAACTACATGTTGTTAAGAGTTTAGTTTCTTTATTGTTTGGTTAGGATTATGATGACCAGCTATAAATCATGCACGAATGAATGAATGAATGAACGAATGAATGAACGAATGAATGAATAAAAACATGAATTAATGAATGAAGAAATGAACAAACAAATGAATAAAACAATTTTAAACAAGTGTATGTTGTATTACTGTATGTCTGCTATAGATGAATTGTTGTAAACATGGGTGTTATAATGTTATTATTTACGCTAAGCCCCAAGTTATATGATTAACTTTATATTGTAGAGATTGATGATGTTTGTTGTTTATGTTGTTTTGTATACAACGAACGAACGAACGAGCGAACGAAGAAACGAACGAACGAAGAAACGAACGAACGACACAAACAACAAAAACAACAACTACAGCAGTAGCAGCAACAGCAGCAACAACAGCAACAAAACGCAATCAATCACGTTCTCAGCAAAATAAGCCTTGCGGCTCTACAACTAAAACATCAAAACAAGACTACTACTACTACTACTACTACTACTGCTGCTGCTGCTACTACTACTGCTACTATTACTACTACTTTTATCACGACTACCGCTGCTATTATTACCACTGCTATTACTGATGCTTGCTGCTACTTCTACTACCACTCCTACATACCTACATCTCAACTGTATGTTTTAAATCCAACAACCCTTTGATAAAAGCATCAACAATCCAATAACATTGATAAGCTAGGGTAGTACAGACAGACATACAGACAGGCGCGCACACACACACACAGACACACGTGTACACACACACACATACATACATAGATCGTGTTTGTTCTTGTATAACAGCATTTTTCCTATTCACGACTCGAATATTAAGTTGGGAAATCCAATAAATAAATATATATATATTTTTACAATATTCTATAAATTCTACCGAATGTTTGGCGTTAAAATGTTCGGTAGAATTTATAGAATATTGTAAAAATTATTACCAACATATATATATATATATAAAAATATATATATATATATATACAGTTTTCAAGAAAATTTTTTATTATATATATATATATATATATATATAATAAAACGAAAGACACAAACAAACAATCAAACAAAACAAACTATCCAACAAAGAAACAAACAAGATGGACAAAAAGCAAAGGTGTGCATTTAATACAGAGAAAAATATTTCAACCTTGGGAGATGTAGATTATATAGCATTCAAAGAAGACATGAATTTAACTGTCAATCAAATAAGAAACATTCACAAACAAATCTTGGACCATAATGTTGAAATCTTACATTACAATTACAATAAAACCCATTATAATTTACGACTAGCCGAATCAATACTCCTAGACAAAAACACCAAAAACATCCGATAATGAATATTTAACAATGGAAATTTGAGCCCTTCCCACAAATAAATTTAGAAGCAGAGAAATCATCGATAATGAAAACACGTACAAGTTGGTTGAAGATTGTAAAACTTATTAAAGGATCGTTAAGTATTCATTTTGGACAAGGAATCAACAAAGTAGAATAGAGACACAGTATGTATGTATGTATGTATATATATATATATATATATATATATATATATATATATAATTTCAATTAAATTTTTTTTATATGTTGTATTGAGAAATATAAGTAGAAGACTTAATTGAATGGTTTCAAGGCTTTTATTTAAGTGGACCAAAGAAACGTTGAAATAAATAAGAATGCAGATTTCATATAATTGTTGTTTCGGTAGTGACGTCACTGGTTTTAAATGAGCAACAAACATCAACAATGTTGAAAATATTTAAATGTCAACTGTTATAAATAATGAATACATAAGTACTTATTGACAATGAAGGATCTTTGTAATGTTGTCCTTCTTCTTTTGCTAACAAACTTTATTCCAAAGGAGGCAAATGGCCTAGAACTAAACTACATCGGCTGCTTTCAAAAAGTTTTGTCTATAAAAGTTTGGTATATAAAAAGAAGTGATGGTAATTTCGATGACTGTGCTTCAAATTGCTGGAGGGAATTTAGCATAATTGCATTAAAGAACGGTCGCGAATGCAACTGCGTAGCTCGTGTGGATGCGGCAGTGGCTTCCTGGCAGTGTGACAAGCTTTGTAATAACAAGGCATGCGGAGGACTGGAGTTTTATTCTGTTTATAGATTTAAGCCACTTTCGATACACGACCTATACTACTGCCATTTGACGCCAAATGCTAAAGAGAGCGCCATATATTCACGAAATTTTGACAGTCTGGATAATCTCGAAATGTGTGCGCATTTCTGCTTGGAAATGAACATGACATTCTTTAGAAAGGATTCCAACAAATGTGACTGTTTCCAGGCCGTTAATTATGGAAAGTTTTTTAAAAGAACATCCGATATAATTTCTACAGCATGCCCAAAAAATGTAAATGAAATCTGTGATTATTTATTTGAACATCATCTTTGCCTTTCTCATGTATTTGCTACGCGACCAGATTACGAATTCCAGAGAGGAGTATCAACTTTCTCTCACTGCAAAATCATAAACTATGAAATACAAGAAGGGTGTCCAGAAGGTTGTAGTAAAGGCTGGAAGGGAGATTCGTGCAGAGAAAGAGATTGTACGAGGAACAATGGTGACTGTGGTGACGAGATGAAATGTATTGAGTCCACGGTCAATAGTAATAAGTACGTTGAATGCGTCTGCCCATTGGGCACCGTAAGAAATAAATGGTACTTGTGCGAGGTGTTTAGGGAGAACGTGGCTCTAGATCAATTATCATGTTGGTTGAGTTTTGCTTACCCTGGCGACAAAGACGTCTCAAATGACGGAATATATAACGGTTACGCTCTGAGTGTTAACGACAAGCGAAATATACTAAGCGTTGTTTTCCCCAATCTTTATTCCATTGGGTATGTTAGAATTTACGGGAAGCTATGTGAAAATGAAAGGGATTGCAGTCAACTAGATAAGTTTGTGATTAAACTCGGTCCATCAGACGATGAAAGAAATCTTCCAGAAACATGCGGCTATGGACCTGACGAAGCCATACAAGCTGGAAATCCCATGACTGTTATCTGTAAAGATTTTACATATCGTTCAAAGCTTGTTGTTTTGCTGCAGTCAGACGAAAAGATTGGAACAGGAAATCCTACAATAGCAGAGATGGAAGTATATGAAGTTAGTTGCGGTGTCTTGAACGGAAGATGTGAACAAAGGTGCACTGAATCGAAAGATGGAGACGCACACGTTGTCAGCTGCAGTAGTTGGACTGATGAACAAGCTGTAACAAACTCATTTTACGGATGTTACTTGAAAGTGTCAAGTGACCTTCACTTCAAGAAGGCTGGTTTATCGTACTTGCAATGTAAAGATGCCTGCACTTTAATGTCAAAAAGTTTAGCAGTGATGCAAGCAGGTTTCAAATGTTATTGCGGCAGTAGTTTGAACATAGCTGGTAACATCCCAGTGGAAGATTGCAAGAAAGGCCATTACGGATCCAACCTTATATTTGATGACTGTGACATGCAAGATGATTTTTGCAATAAAGTCAATGGAACTTTAAACCTCATTACAACAACTTCCAAAGCTACCAAACATGACATTTATGATACAAATTCTACTGAGACTTTAGAAACCATCGTCATTATCAAGCCTTCCGACGAATCCACAAACATCACATCATTGCAAACGCAGCTTTACGATTCTTACAACATATATTTGGTCATCACGTCAGGTGTGACCACCATCGCCTTCCTCTTCATGCTAGCTCTTTTAGTTAGAGAACTGAAGTTAAAACGTGTGATACCAAAAAGAACAAGCGAAACCTCAGGCAGAAGCGCAAGGATTTCAAGCAGCAGTGAAGTTAGATCCTCAAGAAATAGTTTGAGTGTGAATAATACTGAAGCAATATAACTGTATGTATAGAAAAAAAAATGTCCAATCAGAACCCATCAACAAAACCAACTAATCAACCAGTTATTAACGTTTAGCAGTTTTGTAATATATGTTTCAATTTTATTCTTTCTGTTTAGTTTTTTCTACGTTCAATTCTTATGTTATCTTTTGTGAAATATTTCTATTTTTACTGGAATTTTTTCAATTTAAAAAAAAAGAATTTATACTTGAATATTTGGTTTCAAAATAGATTCACCATTAGTAAGTACATGACTTGTGGAGGTTGCACAACGATTTAAAACAGTAGGGAAAGATAGATCATCAACAAACAGATTGAGTGTGAATAATACTGAAGCAATATAACCGTATGTGTAGAAAAAAAGATGTCCAATCAGAGCCAATCAACAAAACCAATCAACCAACCAATGTTATTAACACCTAACATGTTGTGATTTTCATCAATAATTGCATTTCTGACAGTCTTAATCCATTAATCCAACATATATATATATATATATATATATATATATATATATATATATATATATATATTCATGTATTCATGTATCGGAAGCATTTAGATTACTCGTCGTATTTCTTAATTTTCAGCGTTTTTTTTCAAAGTTAAATTGCTAAATTTGTGTTCATTTTATAGACAAAATTAGGGGGATTATGAATATATAATTTATTTTTTGAATAATATAAAATTTAGTTTTAAATTTAATCTTTAATAGTTTGAATTGAAAGGCAAATAATTTAGGCTGGTTATTTACTATGGCTGTTTATAGTTCTGTACATACACTCCTAAGAGTTGTGAAATTTGTTCTGATTGTAGACTGATACTAACGTTAAAGTCGAACATAAGTGCAGTTTAAATTTGCATGTCCAGTGTTTACGTTTTGAGTTGTTTTAATTGATGGCAGGCAGAAATAAATGTCAGAGTTGCAATGGAAATGCGACTTTAAAGGATTCGTTACAATGTAAATTATGTAGTTCAGTGACTATGCATTGGAAATGTAGTGGAGTAACTGAACCAACAACAAAAGAACTCCTGCAGGCTGTTAATTTTGTCTGGATATGTAAAAACTGCCTTGAACATATTGACATGTTTAGATGGAATAAACAACTAAGTGAGTTGACAGAGGAGATAAGAAAGTTGCAAGAAAGCAACGTCTCACTCAGTAATCAGGTAAAGATTGTTCAAAACAAACTTGACAGCAGAGATGATAACGAAAGTATTGATGACAGGATTGTGGTGCTGCAGGAAAATCTTAAAAAATCTTATGCAGATACTCTAAAAGATGTTGTGACTACAAATGTTGTGAAGTTAAATGATGAGGTGATAAACGACTGTTTCCAAGCGTTAAAAAAGGAGATGATCGAGACGAAGGAAGCAGTCAGCGTTGAGTTCAAAAATGTGCAGAAGACACTGGTCGAGGCATCTGAGGTTAAAGAGAAAGAAAGAAATATTATGTTGTTCCGACTGTCAGAACATGGTGATGACAAAAAGCGCATCATTCAAATATTTAAGCATTTGACAGATGATGCTGTAAATGATAAGGATGTCATTAAAA